AAAGATTCACAAAAAAAAAAAAAAAAAAAAAACTACTGTAGCATAGCATCCTAGACGGAAATTCCGTCTAGGATGCTCAAAAACCCGTCTAGAATGCTTATTTTCGTTAAAAAAAAATTAAAAAAAACATCCTAGACGAAAAATTTTTCCATCTAGGATGTAGTATTCTAGATGGAAATTCCGTCTAGGATGTATTCTAGACGGTTTTGAAATCCGTCTAGAATACTACATACTAGACGGAAACTTCTTAGACGCGTATTCTAGACGGAATTCTGTCTAGGATACTCATCCTAGACGAAATTCTGATTTTCCTAGACGGAATTTTTTGTCTAGGATGCCTCATTTTTTACTTGTGAATTGAATCACTGAATTATGAACGCACTACAACAAAAGTAGTAATTTGTGACTCCTTTTGTCATCTCGCGTCACATTTTTGTATCGTGAGCATGACGCAAATTGGAAGTATGTGTAGAACATGTGTGAAGGTCTTTTTACAAATGCGAAAATATGTCACAAAACTCGCGACATATATTTGTAATATGTCCATTTCATTTTGTATCTAATGACACGAACATGCGTCGTGGCTTGTGACATTTTTTTATTATTTATGTTGTTGTTTAATGCTTTGCAATGAACACAACATGTCTACATGTGCCGTAAAATAAGTGTGTGTATATGCAACTTTTGTTATAGTAATAAAATTCTCCTTTTTCAGAAGTAGTCATTATGAGCTTATGCTAGAAAAACAGACTTCGAAAAAAACTAATTTCAAGGAGTAAATACTAAATTAGGATTTCAGTTGACATAGGAGCATGTTGGCATTTTGGAAAGAGTCCTAATAATTATTCGATTTTTCTATAGAGTGCCTATGGGCACTCTATGAGCACTCTATAAGAGAGGAGAGAGATAGAGATAAATGAATGAGGGAGGGGGCTCCCTGATTTGCATTGGGATCCTTTCCTCATTTATTTTTCTCTATCTCTCTCCTCTCTTATAGAATGCCCATGGGCACTCTATAGAAAAACCGATAATTATTTTGTTTAATGAGGTAGAGATTTCTATAATTGTTAGCCTTAATGCTGCTTTAAATAGCTATAAGGGCAAAAGAGTAATTTACAATTGTGTTGATGACGTATGTTGTTTTCCTGCAAAAAGTAAAGCACGCAGTAGTTTACTGAACGAAAAAAACTCGTAGTAATTTTTTGAATAATAAAATTCATGCAATTTATTTATGTATTTTTGCATTTTACAGTTATTGAAGTGATCTCTCGGAAATAGCATCTCCACATGTGAGGGTAAATTGTGTGCACCTGACGTAGGGTCGTTGGGCACCATTTACTCTCTATTTTGGTATGATATTGTCCGTTTTGTGCCAAGCCCTCACGGTTTTGCTCTTGGGTTTCACCCCCTAAGGCCTCATACCAATTAGAGACTTGCCCATCCTTATAAACTCCAAGCCCTCCTCATATTTTGTCAATGTGGGACTTTGGTTTGTCCACTCAACAATCCTCCCCTCAAACAAAGTCCCGCCAAGCCTCCCCTTAAACGATCATCCATCCGTCTTCTCCTACACCGGGAAGACCTTTTTCATCGAGTCCAACAACCTCGTGAGCCTTTTTTCTCTATCCAGGTCATCTCCTCTTCACCGGGAGCACACCACCTGTCCAATAGAGCTCAACCATGATCTCTTTAATCAGGGGCTCACCACTTTTCTTTTGGGGATTAACTTCGGGACCCTAACTCTGATATCACTTGTAGGATCGTTAGGCACCATTTACTCTCTATTTTGGTATGATATTGTACGCTTTGGGTCAAGTCCTCACGGTTTTGCTCTTGGGTTTCACCCCAAAAGGCCTCATACTAATTAGAGACTTGCTCATCCTTATAAACTCCAAGCCTTTCTCATATTTAGTCGATGTGGGACTTCAGTTTGTCCACTCAACACCTGACCCTCCCCAAAGCTCACGATAGCCGGACTCTCGTGCACTTAGTTTCCCTTACTCTATTAAATCTATCTATAAAATAAGATAATTTCATCTATCCAAAGGGGGAATATGAATTTTTTTCAATTGACCAAACGATTGACACATTTGTGAGCGTTGGAACTAGATAGACACGTAGGCTGCGTTTGGCAAAGGGTTAAGGAAGAGGGATTAAGGAGAAGTGTTAACTTAGTTAATCCATTATGAAGGGTTAAAAATATTCTAATTCCATTTGGATTCGCTAGTTAAGACAAGGGGTTAATACTTTTGTGTTTGCAAATGAAGAAGGGATAATGTGATTAATCTCATTAATTTTTAAAAAAATACCACTTTCGTCCTTAATGAAAATTTATAACTAATTGCCTCATTAATATTTTTTTCGCGTTATTTACCTTCTGAGCAAGATCAAAGATTCGAGGCGCTAATATGTAATCCAGTTGAGACACGAGGGATAAATAATTTTTTTAAACACTACAACAAAATACAACATTGTCGACGAAACAAAAACGTCGGCAAAAGTTTAAAAAACGTCGAGAATAATCTTTCCTGACGCAAAATGCAGCGTCGCTAACGCGTCGCCAAAAGTGCGTCAAGGAAAATATTTGGCGACGCAAATACACTGCGTCGCCAAAAGTACACTTTTGGCGACACGTCATGCGTCGGGAAAAGTATATCTTTTAGCGACGCATAATATTTTGCGTCGCCAAAACATGTATTTTTGGCGACGCATGCTGCGTCGGCAAAAGCTATGCGTCGGCAAAAATATAGCTTTTAGCGACGCAAAATTGTTCGTCGCTAAAAATTATACTTTTGGCGACGCAAGTTAGCGTCGGCCAAAGCTTATCTTTTAGCGACGCAGAATAAAGCGTCGCTAAAAACTATACCTTTGGCGACGCAAGATAGCGTCGCTAAAAGATATTATTTTTGGCGACGCAATATAACGTCGGCAAAAGTATAGTTTTTAGTCGGTAAAAAGTATATTTTTATTGCCACTAATTTGCATCGCCAAAAGTAATATCTTTTCTATCAACTACACTGAACCTGAACATCCACAACAAATTTTCTCCCATTCTCATTAACAAAGAAACCAAACATCAAATTATACTCCAAACAAGTTGCATATTAACAGCTAAAATAATATCGATGCTTATTTTCACAATCATTAAAATGAAACAAATAATAACATTAGTAAATAAATTTAAACACAATTCTATTAAACAAATAACAAGTGTTTGACACATGTTTTATTAACAAATCCAACAATCATGATTAAGTAGACTTGAACAATAAAGACTACAGAGAACCCATGTCTTATCAACGTTGCAAGCCTTTCCTTCGTCGCGTCTCTGGCTTCTTCTTCCCATCTTCATCATCCATCTCCAACTTTTATTGTGTAGCTGCAATGGAAAGAAATGTACTCGGTAAGGCAAATAAAAAGTTAAAATTAAACACAAAAAAGTATACTTAATAATGCTCTAATATATACTTTTTTATTTATGTATTGATGAGTAAGATATTTATGCTGAAAGATTGCATAAGAAAAATATCAGGACAGATAATGACAAAATGATATCCTCAAAACAACAATATTTATATCAAACTTTACACTTATGACAATATTAACACAAAAGCCACGATACCTGTCTAAAAATTAACCTACTTACTTATAAGATCTAGATGCCGCGATGGAAGATGGCGACGAAACCGGAGGAAGAGGCAAACACCCATTGTATATTCGGAACTACGAGATTGAACACCAGAAGAAATAGAGCAAGTTTTTCACCAGAAACTATCAGCACACATTATTGCAAGATAATGAATAACATTCATTCTATGATTACCAAGAATAATGAATCTCTTACAGGGGCCTCTATAGCGGATAGTCTTCAATAAGCCTCGTCTCCGAAATTGCATCATTCTCACTTGAAGGAATCCATGACACTTTCCACAGCCTGCCGAGAGAAAACTAATTTGCGCGTGACCAGAAATTTTAGCATCTTTCAGCGTTTGCATTGTGGTAGATCGATCGACGAACAACAATCCTGTGTTACCAGAGCAGTTCGTTGTAGCTGCATTACAGATAATTTGTGGTCTTCCTCAGCAGCAATCAGCAATGATAATTGCTACCTAGAGAAATGGAGTAGTGAATCAGCCAAAGCAATACTTGTACTGTTTCATAAACGGAGCATGTCATTTATATATTATAGGAAACAGAAAGATCAGCGATGAATATTCGATATATTCAAGCTTTATATCAAAATAAAAATCTCACAAGAAAAATGAGATGGCAGTTCTGGTCTAGATCTGGATACAATGCCAATATTGATACACGCAGCATTTCGGTAGCACTCTATTCATTTCTAAAACCAAGCAGTTAAGCCTATCAAAGCTAACTATTCAGTAAGACAGTAACCTTGCTAAAAACCTTCATCGTCCTCGTTGCGTTCAAATTTCTTATCCCATAGTCACCAAGAGCAGCAGCACAATGGAAGAGGATACACCAAAATGGGTAAGAACCATTTGTGTTGTCCTTCAGGATTGGAACAGTTTTAACTTTAGTGTTAAAAATTTAACCATGTTTTAAGGATTGGAACAGTTTTAACTTTAGCGTAAGAAAACTTCTTTGTGCAACAAATTCTGCAACCCCGGTGCATGAGGATCATAAAGCCTGGGAATAATTTTAAAAATGTAGTTCAGTAGCCAAAAAAAAAGTATGAATTCTAGAACATATCTTCTATGGTTGATCAATATAATAAAATGATGCTTATGGTGAGCATCGCATTAAACTCGGCATTATTTTCATAACAAATTACAAGTAAAAAAGAATCAACACGAGATAAATTCTGAGAATGTGTAAAGAAGAAACCCAACAAGATAGTATAGAGAAACCATGTATTGTATATGAGATAAATTCTGAGAATGTGTAAAGAAGAAACCCAACAAGATAGTATAGAGAAACCATGTATTGTATATAATATGAATTTCACATGTTGTGTATAGAGAAACCCAACAAGATAGTATAGAGAAACCATGTATTGTATATAATATGAATTTCACATGTTGTGTATAGCAGTATAAGTGGCTTTTTCAGATCATACTAGCAACATCTCCTACTTGACCAATTAGAAGATTATTCACACTCAAATGAGCATCAGAAGAAGTGATGGCCAGCTAGATAGCAGTTAAGAAAAGTTATCAACTATAAAGCACATACCATGACATTTCCGTTTCATGTTGGTGCTTTTTAGAACTACTTGTGTCTACATTATGCCATCTCAATGTGGGAAATTCCCATGTCCATGCTTGTACAGTTTCATCTCTCAGCTAGTGCAGTGTTATGATTATCCCTCATTATTTTCATTCTTCAACCATTCTCTGACTATCATGATATTGGTCCTTGATGTTGTCTTCACTACTACTTGATGTTGTCTTCAACTCTTAGTGACATTCTGACAGTATTAGGTGCAAATGCGCAACATAGAAGTCGTGGCCTTTCCTTAAGGCTAGGAAAAACACAGTTTGTTTCTTTTATTTACATCAGCAAGTGATGCATCAGACAACAGCCCTAACATGTCAAGAGACGTCCAGGTGTATTTGTAAGAAAAAACACATAAAGTTGTTATTTTGCTAACAATTTGGCATGGCAAGTGCCACGCTCTTGGATGTAGTTTGTGCAGGATCAGGATGAAAGATAAATTGCACACCTAGATGGTAAATTTAAACACATTTGTGTATCTTAAAAGTAGTGTAAACTAATGTGTATGGATACTGCGGTTTGCACCTAAGAAAAATGAAAAGTACATGCATTTAAGTAATGCCTTCAAAAACATTAACTATTTGAAAAAAGAATAACCAAGAGTTGCATAACTTACCAAGACGGGTTTGTGCAAGGCTATTGTTCTCTAGATAATTGTAAACTAGTATCCTATGATCACCTTCCACACAGCAACCATACAGTCTAACAAGATTTTCGTGGGTTATATCTGAAACTACATTAAGCTCAGTCAAGAATTTTCGTTTTCCTTGTCTTGACTCATGAGAGAGGACCTTCACAGCAACGACGGTTCCATCTTTAAGTGTTCCCTGCATCGATATAGTTAATTACTAGTGATGCTCAAATATAGTTACGCTGGAGTTTAACCTAAGCAAGTAATACATTGTAAACAGATCCAAAACCTCCTTCGCCAACTTTATTGCCAGGGCTAAAATCCATTGTGGCTTTTCTCAATTCTTTATAAGAGTATATCTTCACATTCTCGATGCTTGAAAAATCTGAAAAGGGAAATAAAAAAATCAATTGTGCATATGAAGTAAACAAGGTGCCAGGAGGTAAAACCTTTGCTCCTTAAGATTGCATCAAGGCCATTTTTTTTTGAATTTTCCAGAAAGAGAAAGGCTCTCTACATTTGGAAATACAAATTCATAAGAAATTGAGGAGCAAAAGATGTACCTTCATCAGTTTGAACAGTTTGGCGACCTGGGGGTTGTTTCCCCTTGAATATGCAAGTGAAACAACTCATAACTCTGACTAAACACTGATAAACCTTTCAATGGTGAATAGTGCTTCCAGAACTATGAAATCCTGCAAGAATTGAATATTTGGTTGAGGGAAAAGTTAGTATCAAGTTTTCATAAGACAAGCATCTGCAAACACACACAAACAGTGCCTTTTAATACTAGATATTTCAAACTCAAGTTTTCATAAGACAAGCATCTGCAAACACACACAAACAGTGCCTTTTAATACTAGATATTTCAAACGTAAAACTGACTATCATGTTAATGTAACAACACACACAAACAGTGCCTTTTAATACTAGATATTTCAAACGTAAAACTGACTATCATGTTAATGTAACTCATAAAACTACTACGAAACTAGGTTATCTTAGTCTTGATCATTAGTTATTTGCAATGTAGTAATGTTTGTATAATATGTCAAGTTGTGCTAATCTGAAAAGCACATAACCGGGCATGACGTCCAGGGACAACTGTACATGCACCGCACAGATGTGGCTTCGCATATAGATGTGTCGATGCAACTTAGGGCTAATTGCTAATTGATCCACCATAAATCACGTGTATGCAACCACACTCAAACTTCACAATTGCCATTATCAACCGTCTCATCTTCAACCTCAACTGAAAAGATTTTATTAAAAAAACTAAATTTCATAAATTGACGATAGAACAAAACCCAATTGAATTACCCAAAAAAAAGTTCACTTGGTTATGACTTCATAGGATCAGGCTTAGCTTCATTGAGATCCATCACTGGATGTATCTTCTTCTCTTCTTGAACTTCAACTGGGAAAACAAAAAAAGCCCAAATTTCATAAATTGATGATAAAACATAATCCAGTAAGAGCACCCATAAACAAAACTTACTTGATTGTGGCTCAATAATCTGATTAAGCTTCTTCTCTACAACTTCAAAAATCTTGGGTTTGGGCAAATCAATCTCTTTATCATCAAAATCCTTCACTTCTCCCTCTCCCTCAACCTCCTCTTCTTCCTTCTGCTTCATCAATTCAATTGGGTTCTTATCCGGGGTTTTCCAATTCCTCCTCCCAACTTTATTCCCAGTTCCATCACTCTGATCTCTTCAACCTCGTAAAGACCTTGGCCTCCTCCTCGAGCGCGTCGCCACCACCCGCGATTTTGGCAGGAGGAGGAGGAGGAAGCGGCGGCGAGATCCGACGGAGGCGGAGATCTCCGATGATGGCGTCGGTGAGCTTCGACGATGGCGTCGGTGAGCTTCGACGAAGCGGCGAACTTTCAGAGAATTTGGGGGTGATTTTGGCTCTTCGTCAAAATAAAAAAGGGGGGAATTATCCCACCTTTTATTTGGGGGGCGGGGATTTGGGGGTGGGGTTTTGGCGACGAGGATAAATAAAGCAGCGTCGCTAAAAATATAATTTTAGGGACGATAATTATAAACGTCGGGAAAAGAATATTTTTAGCCACTTTAGCCTAATACGTCGCGATAAATGCATACTATTAGTGACGCTAATTCTAAAACGTCGCTAAAAAGCTATATTTTACCGACGAAAATGAAAAAACGTCGGGAAATACATAACTTTTACCGACGCTAAGTTAAAACGTCGCTAATAATATACACTTTTAGCGACACTAATTATAAACGTCGGGAAAAATATATTTTTTGCCAACGCTAACTAAAAGCGTCGGGAAAAACACAATTTTTGGCGACGTATTTAACCATGCGTCGGGAATAAACGTCGGAAAAAGTGCAATTTGTTGTAGTGAAAATATCGCTAAAATGACAATTTGGTATTATTCAATAAAGATTGTTCAGAAGGTAAATTAAAATATATTATCATTTTTACATGATTTCAGCCGCTAAAGAGAGATAATGAGCTAATAAAATATTATATGGCTTCTTATCTAACAAAAAATCAGGCAAAAAAGATTTGATTATTGAAGGAAAAACAATCTACTCAATAGCTCTGTATAAAATTATAAGTTTTGCTCACATAAAGATAGTAAAAGACATAATTCAACCTCCTTATACTTCAATATTCGACTACTACATATTTTAATTATTCCAAAGCTGTAAAGCAATCCTGTTGCGAAGTTGCTCTTCAATATTCGACTACTACATATTTTAATTATTCCAAAGCTGTAAAGCAATCCTGTTGCGAAGTTGCTCACCCCTTAAACTTTCATCTGCACCAACCATGTATTGGGGGTCTTCTTCCTCATCCATCTCATCTCCATTCTCATTCATCTCTAATCCATTGAGCATATTAAAGTATTTATCATTTCCCTGATGCCTTGCAATAAAATTATGAAGAACACAACAAGCTACTACGATTTTGACTTGAGTTTTATAAGGAAATGGAGCAGCAACTTTCAAAATTTTGAATCTTTGTTTTAAAATTCTCCATGCTTTTTCCACTGTATTACGTAGTTGTGCATGCCTATGATTATATTTGTCTTTAGTATCTCGATAGGCTCTGATGGTCCCATTTGCAAAATCTCTAAGATGATAACACGATCCATGATATGTGGCGATAAATTTTAAAGTATTAGTATATCCCGAATTAACTAAGTAAAAGTGACCTACATATTTAAAATTATCTGAATTTAGTACTAATTGATTCTAAAAAATAGATGAAAAAAATATTTAAATTTACCTTCAGGAACATTAAATTTATCATCTTCCAGTGTTGCACGAAGAACTGACATATCAGATGTTGATCCCTCCCATCTAGCAGCCACAAAAAGAAAAGTATGATCAATGGAGTGTTAGCCTTCTTGTTTTGATGATGGTTTAATAAATAATTTACTTCTAATTTTGTTTGTCTAGTGTTTTTATAATTCTAATTATTGTAGACAAACAACATGTTGGAGGTTAGATATGAAACAAAAATATTTTCATATACATACTCATATGTTTTATTTTCTATTGTATTTGTAAAAATATTGTATTCTTAGTTTTTGGACTTAACAATAATCATATACATATTTTATTAAGTCTACATAATTATTGTGCAAAGTTTCAAAACATGGTTTAGCCTAAATGTCAAAATTCATATGTTTACATTTTTATGTTTTGGTCTATTTTGTAATATGATGATATTTTTTATTTGGGAAGTCCTTTTTGAGAACCAGTTATTATAGCATGTTTATTATCATGTCTACAATCATTCTCCAAAGTTTTACATTTTTTAGAATTTATTTAATATTTTTAAACAGTGTTTTAAGATCAGATAACAACTTTCAAAACCTGATTTCTTGTATCAGTTCACGGTCGACCGCCACGGTCGACCGCGCGCTCAAATTTTCCCACGGTCGACCGCCACGGTCGACCGCCAAAGTCTCTGGAAGTTTTATGAGATTCTATAGTGCCTCGCGATCGACCGCGAGAATTTTACGGTCGACCGCCGATAGCCTAACGGCTATATTAGGTACAGAATCTATTTCCTTTTTTTCTAGGATTTTTGTTGTTTTGTTTGGGGTTTTGGCTGTTGGTTTCTCTTCCTATATAAACCCCTCAACCCCTCTTCTATCAGTAACCCAATGGATAGTTTTAAAGAAGTTTAAAAGAGTTTTGAAAAGAGTTTTAGTTGGGTTCAAAGTCTGTTTGGTTTGTGAAGATTGTTTTACAAGTGGAGAAGATCATCTATAGTGTTTGAACTTCATCTTAATCCTCCTCTCCAACTTGATTTTTAGAGAAGAATTCCTAAACTCTATTTTCTAGCTATTTATCGTTTTTGTTCATAATTCCTATATGCTAGATTTTAATTGAGTTTAGTTGTTTTGATTTCACTCATTATTTACACACACCCACTTGAGCTCATTGTATTAGCATACATTGTATATTTGGGTTGGTGAGAGTTGTAACAATTGAGTGTTAGCTTTCATTGTGTTCTCATCCATATTAGAGAACAATCATTTATTGTATTTGAGCTTATTGTCAGATACACTTTGTAATACACTTGTACACCGAGAGGAGTGTGTGGTGAGAGTCGGGGATCGTCCCAAGAGGAGTGGCATCGGTTGACGAACCTAGGGAGAGGTTGTAACCGAGAACTTGAGGGAGACACGGCTAGGTCCAACACTTGTGAGGGTGTAGAGTGGGTTTACAAGAGTGTGGGTTGTAGAGTTTTCGGTTAGCTAGAAAACCGAGTGTGTAAAAGTTCCGGCTTCCAAACCGGATTATGATAGTGAATTTCTTCCCGGGAGTGGGGAGCGGAGACGTAGGACGAAAGGTCTGAACTCCGTGATCATATTACTTGGTTGAGTTTGGCTTAGCACACTTATATTTGTTCATCTTTATAGCCTTTCTCTTATTGTTTATTTCATCCACTATATCATTTGTTTATGTTACCCTTATGTTTGCATATCCTTGCATATATCATATAATATATCTCTTTGCTAGGATATATCACCTTGTGTATATTGCATATTCTTACACTTAACTCTTTGTATATCTATCTTGCAAGAATATATTTATTAATTAGTTTTAATTGGCATAAAATCGGATTAGATTAGCATAAGACCCTAATCACCCCCCCCCCTCCTCTAGGGTTCAACAATTGGTATCAGAGCTTTGTGCTCTTTGATTTAAGGTCTAATCACATTGAGTTAAAGATCCAAGTTATCTTTTTATGCTAATCCAATTTTTGATTTGTGTATCTTGCTTGCATATATACATTATGGATATGAACGATGCATCTTGTTTAGGTTATGCTATCAATATTGCTCCTAGATTAGATAATTTCCCCTATGTCCAATGGTGTGTTAGATTTAAACTTTTTGTTCAATCTAAACACTTTGATTTATGAGAAATTATAGATGATGCTTATATTGTGTCTACTAAGGAGAAATCCAAGTGGAATAAAAATGATCATCGTATGTTTACGATGAACAATATTTTGTTAGAATATTTGCTAAATGCTCTTGATTCATCTATGCCTAACAAATTTGTTCATTTTGATAGTGCTTACACCTTATGGAAATTTATTGAAGCACATCAAGGGGACTTAGAGGTGACCCGACAAGCTTTGGAGGATCCGGTTTCAAGTTCATATGGAGCATCATGCACACGACCACTAGGTGATAGCCCTAGTGAGGTTTGCGAGTTCGAAACTACTAATGATTTATCTAGTGATGAACTTGCTTGTGCTAGTGAAAAATTATTGCATGCCTATAAGAAATTGCAAAATGATTTTATTGATTTAAAAAGCAAGCATGAGGATTTGAAATCCGATCATGAGTTGTTAGCATCTAAGTTTGAAACTATTTCTAATGAAAATGTGATCCTTAAAGAAAACAATAAAAAATTAAAATTGGATCATGTTTCTTTAACTTCAAATGTTACTAGTTTAACTCATGAAAGAGATAATGCCATGTTAGAAGTAGAGAACATACAAAATGATACTGCTTCTTTTATAAATGACTATTTATGTTCTACTTCTAATAAAAATACATATGTGCCTAAAAATGAAGATTTGAATCTTATGAATAAATGCATTTCATTTTTAGATTCAACTTTGAAAACATGCATTAATAATCATAAGAGGCTTATGGATATGTGTGTCAAGTCTAAAAAATCATCCACTCATCATGCACACATATATAGTAAAGTTTACAAGTGCTCTATTTGCGGCCGTAAAGACCATCTAGCTAAATTTTCCTATGATGCACACAAACATAAAAATGTCAATGCTCCTTGTGCATCTCATGTAGCTTCTGTTGGACCCTAGAGGGGGGGTGATTAGGGTCAAGAGGCTCTAATATGCAATAAAAAATCAGCACAAGCAAACCACAAAACAGAAATGCAATAAAAGTAAGAGAGATAGGGTTAGGAGTTCGTTATCCTTGACGCGCGATGTGTTAACGAGGTTCGGCCCTCTGGCCTACGTCCCCGCTCCCCACTCTCGAGGAGAAATCCACTACACACCCGGTTTGGAAGCCGGAACTTCGTCTACACAGCGATCTCCACAGATCTCTCTCACTACACAGTTTGATCTCAACAGATCACACTCCCTCACAGTAGATCTCCACAGATCTCACTCACACAGCAGAAGAAAGAAATGCAAGAACCTCTCTTTACACAGCCCTTATAGCAAAGAGAAGGTTTACTGAAGCTGGGAAGTGAATCACACTTAAGAAACAGAGAGAAAATATACTTTGAAAATTTTACTCAGGAAACAAAAAAAAACTCTCTGGTTTTTCAAACGTTAGGGCTGGGAAGAAGAAGAGGTCTGGGGGGTTTATATAGAAAAGTTTAAATCATTTTAAAACAAAAACAAATCTGCCCAAATGAGATAATAATCTCTTCTTCAGACCCTCATCACAGACTGTGCCAAACACTAACAAGTGAAAGCACAGT